CCCCAAAACCCCAAAACCCCAAAACCCCGACTTATGCAAGAAAAATTGTAAGACCCATAATAAAAGGATGCTAAATATATATTTACTATTTTTTCTCTGATTTAGGCCAGTGCTAAAGTTTAGTATAACAAACAAATAGGCTTCTTGCTTCTTATTCGAAGTAGAGGCACTTTAACTCCAAAAATGTTAATTGAACGTCTTCCTTCCGCTTGTAGCCAAGCTTTAATTTTTACTGCAAGCAAAGACAAACATCATATTAAAAACTAGAGAATCCCAATTAAAAGCGTCTCTATTTAACAAGGTAATGAAATAAATTAAGTTGCTGGGAGTATATGCTAAACAGATTAGCATCAACTACAAAGGACAAGATAAATACAGAGCATATGTCTGTGGAATAACCACAATTCTAATAACGGTCTTGCGAAGGTACACTGCTTACTTCCTTGAGGTCATGTTTGAGTAAAAACATTATCTAAACATCCAATAATGTCTTCAGAGATCTTAATAATGGCTTCAGGGACCACAATCCAGCTGAGCATGGATTCACAACGGCATTTGGGTAGAGATTTTGCTAAACCAATTTGCTTGAAGAGGACTTCCTGAGAATGTATAAATTACAAGCCTTCCAGTATTATTTAAAAATGAGAGCTGATGGTGATTGAGATGAAAAATTCACTGAGTTAAAGCTTCTAGAATGAGGAGACGACTTTCCCTATCTTAACAAGACTCTGCTCAACCAATTTAGAATCAACAAATATGTGTGAATCAACAAAACTGATTATGCATTGATTGGCAACTGGCACACTGGTGTGATTAAGTTCATACTAATAGAATTCAGCAGAAGTGATCCTGAAGGAAAGGATGATGACTTGATGATTATGATATTCAGTGATGACATATTTGATAAGAACGTTTAAATTCTTATAGTAAACAGCTACTTCGGCCCTAGAGCTTCAGTGAACCTCTCTAAAGTTATCTCACCCTATAATATTTCTACACTTATCAAGCAGGATTTATGGCAGAAACAGAAATCTTATTGAGAGACAATAAGACTAGAACTCTCGATGACTATACTCTTCTTGATGGAGCCAAAGACAAGATCTTTTGTTCAGTAGCTGGAAAAAGAGTAATATATTTAAAATCAATTTTTCAGGAATCTTTGCAAGAATTAGCATATATATCGACCATGAAGTAGTCACCTACAAGAGAGCTGTATTTACAGTGCCAGATATACCTGCAATTATAGGAGGAATCTTCAGCCTTCTCCAATCCTTAGTTCTCGTAACAGTAGGATTCTACTTTGGTAGGGCTTACAAGTATTTAGTTATATCTAAAAATTGCACATTGAATGAATAAGAATTTGAAGAAGGCTCAACCTAAAAGGTGAATCCAGAGCTTGTTAGCTCTTAAAAGCACATAAGTTCTTCACACAAAAATATTTACAACGAACTAGAAGCCAGAAACCTTCTCTCCGAAGAGGTAAAGATTGATAGTGAAGAAGACGAAGATGGGATACCTGAAGCCCAACTCAGCACACCCAACAGCTTCACAAACATTTAACCAAGAAAAAGGACTTTCTATCTGAAAAAAGATATCAGAACTAGAAGATATGGATATAAAACCCTTGGCATGTGTTATAATGTCTCCTACTTTCTGCAGAGGAGAAACTGATACAGGAAGAGGTATGCAAACTCTCAATTCTACACCAAGATATTGCAGTGGTATTATCATGACTTAGAAGTAGCCACTATAGTCCAGAACCTGCACAGACTGAATACCACGATGAAGGTCTTATTTAATGAAAGACATAATGTTGTTGGATTTTAGCAATATCAGGTCGATCAATAGCAACTAAGCACCGCAAGAGAATTCTAATAATTTTAATCCTCCTTATAAGTGTAAAAATTCCGAAGAAAGAGAAATTAAATTCCAAGAGGCTACTGACGGTATTAACCAACATTTTTCATCTGGTTTAGAGTTAATTAATAATATTCAAGAAAATGCGACTAGCTAGTATGATAAGAATCTGATCATACTGATATCTCCTGTTTCAAAGTAAGATGTTGGAGAGTTTTTTGTTTAGAAACAATCTAGTCATGAAAAGCCAGGCCACTTCTCAGTAACACGAGATCCAAGTAATCCAAATAAGAAAAGCTAAAAGCCTCTATATCAGTAAAAGATATCAAAATTAAGCTACAGAAAAAGCTACCAGATATTGGCCTTGCTCTTGAAGATCCTCTATTGATTAGAATCAAAGAAGACTGCATTTAAGCTCTCGTTTTACTTCTAGATCCTACTAAATAAGTGATACAGGCATAGAAATGATTATAAAATTACGATCCTCTCTGATCCAAAAGCTAGATCTTCCACTCCAAATATTCAAAGGTTGAACCAAAATCTACCATTCCACACTTAAAACCTGTGATTGCTCGAATTGGTGAGGAATAATAGACACAGCATTTCTCATAATACTCAATATTCTCAGTGAGTTCAAACTCCTAAGGAGAATTAAAGATTATTTGTAAGTTATTCGACGACAAGAAGAAGGAGTAGATTACAGCCTTCTTTGTATTTAAGATAGTCTAAGACAAAGCTTAATTTGATACTCTTTGCTCGTCCTGAGTCCTTATCTACTACATTTGGTATGGTTAGCAACCCCTCTATTGCCATATCGCCCTGAGATATTCATGAACAATATTTCGATTTAATGAACAGAAGAGGGGTTTTGGGGTTTTGGGGTTTTGGGG